CGCCCTCACAGAGCCAGCAGACAGGCGCCACATCTGGGTCTCCGCCAGTCTGGAGGACACTCTTCATCCCCCCTGCCCCCCGGTGATTCCCTGGGACTTGCAGGCCCACCCAGTCCCTTTCCAGTGGCTTTTCCATACAAACAGCCTGTTTTGGCTCATGCTGTGGATTTCCCTAAAATCTCTCAAACAAGCAGCATCTGGCTTCAGTGTGCCACAAACCTCCCCCTGAGTGGCCCCACTCCTAGCACTGGTGGCAGCCAGCCTGGGTTGGCACCTTTGGCTCTCCTGGGCATCTCCAAGACCAGGACAAGTAGCAGCCATCTGCAGATCACTGTGCTCAGGCCTGGTGTCCCCAGGCAGAGTACAGACAGTGGCTGACCTTGGCCTGCACCTCCCAGGAGGCCCCAGAGCCGGAGGACCTGGTGGACAGCTTCAGATGCTCTGAAGCACCACCCAACCACCTCCACGAGCAACACACTCAAGCAGCAGACTCGGCAGGCACCAGAGCCCCCTGATCAAGCCAGTCCTGCTCTGTGCGGTCGGCCCCTGCACAGTGGGTCCTCCACAGTGGTTGTCACCAGTGCTCACAGCAGCTGTACCGAGCTGAGACAGGATGAGGAGACAGAGAAGCATGGCCCGAATGAGAGAACAGAGCGGAACTCCAGACAAAGAGCTTAACGGAATGAAGGCAAGCGATCTTCCAGAATCAGAGCTTCCCCAACGAGAAGAAGCTGAAGGAGACCATCACCACCAAACCAGCACTGACTTAAAGAAGTCCCTTTAACATTTCTTCTTTAAGAAGAAAATAAAAAGATAAAACTATGAACAATAAAATGGCAATACATACATTTATCTCTCAACAATTACTTTGTGTGCAAGTGGAATCGATGCTTCAATCAAAAGACTCTCGGTGGCAGAACGGATAATGAGGCAAGACCCTCACACAGGCTGCCTGCAAGAGACTCACTTCAGATCGAAAGACGCACAGGGACTGAAAGCAAAGGGATGGAAAAAGATATTTCAGGAAAAGAGAAATTAAAAAAAAAAAGCTGGAGTAGCAATATTTATACCAGATGAAACAGATTTTAAAACCAAGGCTGTATCAAGAGACCAGGAAGGACCCAGCAATTCCTCTTCTGGGTGTTCATGCAAAGAAACCCAAACAGTGAATTGAAGAGATGCACGCACTCACCTGAGCACTGCAGCATTGTTTACAGTAGCCAAGGCGTGGGATCACCCTCGGTGTCCATCAGTAGATGAGTGGATGAAGGAGAAGTGGTGTGTATAAATATACATTGGAATATGACTCAGCCATAAAAAAGAATGACATCTCTCCATCTGCAATAACATGGATGGACCTGGAGGGCACTGAGAAAGACAAATGCCAGATGATTTCACTCATACATGGACTCTAAAAACCAAATAAACAAACATTCAGGGAAAAAAATGAAACAGACTCAGATACAGAGAACATTTTGACAGTTGCCAGTTGGAAGGGAGGTTGGAAGGATGGGTAAAAAGGGTGAAGGGATTAAAATGTGTAAATTGGGCCCAGGCTGGTGTGGCTCAGCAGATTGGGTGCTGGCCTGCAAACCGAAAGATTGCTGGTTCGATTCCCAGTCAGGGCGCATGCCTGGGTTGCAGGTCAGGTCCCCAGTTGGGGACATGCAAGGAGCAACCAATCAATGTCTCTCTCACACACTGATGTTTCTCTTTCTCTCTCTTTCTCTCTCCCTTCCCCTCTCTCTAAAAGTAAATAAGTAAAATCTTTTTTTTTTAAAGTATACATTGGAGGTTATATAACAGTCATGGGAATGTAAAGTACAGCATAGGAAACAGTAGAAAATATTGTAATAACTATGTATGGTGTCAAATAGTTACTAGATTTATCAGGGTGATCACTTTGTAAGTTGTATAAATGTCTAATCATTGGGTTGTACACCTGAAACTAATATGATATTGTACATCAGCTGTAATTAAAAAATAAAAAATGATTTTTAGAAAGAGTTTGGGAAACAGCGTGCTAGAAAACTGGCACAGCCTATGCAAAGGCCCTGGGGCAGGGCCATGCTGGAGTGTTGGAGGGAGAGTGAGGTCCATGGGGCTGCAGTACAGTGAGGGAGAGAGAGGGAGGTGGTGAGGGCAGGGAGGGATGGGGACAGACTGCGCAGGGCCCTGTGGGTCACGTGCAGGAATGCAGACTTTATTACGAGAGCACTGGAGACCTGTGGAAGAGAGGCAGGACCCCAGTGACCTGATATTCTGATTCAAGTTTTAAAGAGACTTCTCTGGCTCCACACATGAAACAGGCTAACAACCGCAATTAATTAATTAATTCACCCATCTATTCATTCATTTCCCCAGGGGCAAAAGCAGCCACCGAAAGATCTAAGCAGAACAGGGACAAGGGAGGGTCTGTGTTTGCAAATGCCCCCCTTGGCTGCCGAGCGGAGAATGGAGTGCTGGAGTGAGAGGTGGGGGTGGGGGTTACGTGGTCAGGGAGAACTGAGAGGCGCTTCTGCCCCCTGGGCCCAGATTTCATCCTGCACATTTATTGCTTCCCAAAGTCACCCTGGGTCAGGTACTGCTTTTGAGGTGTCCTCTCCTCATCACAGTTCCCTGAAGTCCCTCTAGTCCATGCCAGGTAACGAGGAGGCAAAGGGATCCCAGTCACCTGAGGACATCAATGTTGAGTGTGGAATGCCAGGGCCAGAGTTGGGAGGCAGCCAAGCACAGTCCCCCAGGGACAGTCCCCACTGTGGTTGGCAAGGAGCACCCTCCCTGGCAGGCCTAGGCAGAGGGAAGCGAGTGGGGCCATGTGGGGGCCCCTCCCCGTGAGAGTCCCAAGCCCATCTGTCCTGGTGCCCACTTTGGGTTATGTGCACCGCCACCACGTGGGGGAATAAATGTGGATGGTGAGTGCCAAGGCTTTGACAGCTCCGAGACAGAGCCCAGGTGCAAGGGGCAGCCGAGGGTGTCTGCCAGGTCTGGAGGGCAGAGCTGGAGCCAACCCCGGAGCTGGGTCTGGAGATCAAACAGAGTCAGCTGCAGGGAGGGAGGCCTGGGGAGGCCGACATCAACTTTGCGTACCACGACTGCCTGCCGGCATGTCGCACACACCTCTCCACACAACCCACAGACACCTCCAAGAGGGAGAGAGGTCTGTCCACTCTTCGCAGTGGAGGGAATGAAGCTCCACGACAGGAAGTGACTTGCCTAAACTCACAAAGGGAAGATGTGGTCCAGCCAAAAATTGAACCCTGATCTGTCTGCATCTAGGATCCATCCACTGTGCTTTGCAGGAGGGTGTAGAGGGTTTTCTCTGAGCAGAAGCAGCCCCTTAACCTTCAGGCGGCACACATGTAACATACAGACCACAACATTGTTTCTGTTCAGCAGTCCATGACAGGCATCCCCAATCAATAACAGAACTCTCCCAAGGAGACAAGATCCAGGCATCACTAATCCATTGCAGCACCCTTTCCCTGCAGAACTGGGACACAGATTAGAATCCCGCCAATCAGCAGCAACTGCCTGTGATGAGCAGGTGTGCAGTAGGAATAGGGAGGGGCACACAGGCGGACAAACGTTCCTTTATCTTCCAGATGGACAACTTTAAGCCACAGATTTAATCCCTTCCCTGGTAAAAGTCCCTTTCCTTTCTTTTTATTGCCCCAGGGATGAAATCCAAACTCCTGGCCTTGCCTTTCACCTGGCTGTTCTCTCTGCCCTACGTGCCATCTCTTAGCTCTTGACAGAGACCCCCTCAATCAGCCACTCTGGCTAAAGTCTACCCTTCCATTCTGTCACCATGCTTTTGTTTCTTTGTAGCAACTGTTGGGATCTTTAATGATCATCGGTGTTCCTCAGTGTGCTTGTCCCTCCCACAGGACAGCGGTGTGGTCTGCAGTGTCTTGAGTTGGGGTCCTCACTCCCAGCTCTAAGAGGAAAGAGTCTGGTTGGCTCAGCCTAAGCCCTGGTCCCATCTGTTAAGGCAGCAAGGTGGGGGTCACACTGCCTTAGAGTCAGGGGGCGTTGTGTTAGTGGGGTGTAGGGTCAGGGCAATTCTCAGGAGAAGTCCAAGGGCTGGGCAGGCGTCCCAGTCGGGTTACAAAAGCAATAACAAAAACAATAAGGAGAGCGAATAAGCACAGCAAATAACCATAGCTAATATTACAACTGTAATATTAAAATATTGTTTGTATTTGGCAGGCGGGGAAATTGAGGCAGAGAGGGAGTGCAGTGTGCCCAAGATCACAGTGAGTCTTCAAATGTTCACTAGAAACCTCCCTCCCCAGGAGGAGAAGCGTTCCTTCAAGACCTGATGAGCAGGAGAACACCGCCCCCCCACCCCACATACTCCACAACAGGAAATGAACATTGGGGTGGGCGGGGGAGGGGCTCAGCCTGGCCTTCCCATCTCCTGAAAGCGCCCCAAGGGCAATTCCTGCCCCGCAGCGTCTCAGTCCTCTGTGACCTTCACTCTTTCTGGGCACGGCTCCAGGAGCACGCGGGGCTCCAACTCCGGAGCAATTACGTTCTTTTTGTGGCGACTCTGCCCCACCCACTCTGAAGGGCCTGGCGCCAACAGCTGTGGCTGAAGTTTGCGCGTCGAGGACAGGAAGTGTCTATCTTTATATTCCGGCATTAACGAGCCTCTGTCATATGGATATGGCGTTTTATTTTTCCTACTAATAAACGAGAATGTATTTTTTTTAGCTCTTCCGCCATCACTTGATTCTCAAGTTTGAATTGTCTGAAGGCTTAAAACACTGCTGACTACATCAACACATTTTAACATTTTCCTTTCCTGAATGAGAAAAGCGTAAAAGGGGGAGAAAAAAAGTGAAAAACATTTTGATTGTATTAACAGGAGTATGGAGAACAAAAATAGGGAGGTGATGATGCCACTTTCTCTGCTTGGAACCTTGCTAAGAGGAGCGTGTTTGATTCAGAAAACTCTGATAAACTGGAGCAAAGCGAGGAGTCTGCTGGGATAGTATATACTGTGCCATTCATTTCTTTTCATTCAAAAACATTTATCGAGCCCTCACTGTGTGTCAGGCGCAGCCTGAGGTGAAGGGGCTGCATACTGTGCAAGTGTGAAAGGGCAGAGTCCAGCCCTGCCCTCCTGACGCCCTGCCCTCCTGATGCGGACAACGTGTGAAAGACAGAAGTTAAGCAGTTAATTACATAATGAACCATCACAGTTTGTATGTAAACCCTTGGACACAAGAGGAGAAGGATCCCAGAGGGGGAACCTCATCTGACTTCTCAGCTGTTGAATTAAGGATGAAAAGCAAAGCAGGTAAGCTGGACAAACATTTCTTGCAGAGGGAACAGCACATACAAAGGCGGTGAGTCAGGAAGGAGCTGGGCATGGTGGGGAGCAGGAGAGGTTGGCAGGGCCTTGCGGGTCCGGAGGAGGGGGTGAGTGTCACTTTGGGAATCCTGGGAGTGTCTTGAGAAGGGTTGGATTTGGAGCATATGAGTATTCAACAGACCAATAATTGAGAGGAAAAGCAGTCATTGAACAAATGTTCCTTGAGCATCTGCTGTGTGCCAGGCTCACCTAGGTGCTGGGGCCACAGGAGCAAGCAAGAGAGGGGAAGATGCCCTTGTGTTTACAGACGAGGAAACCAAAGAACAAGCAGATGACATGGGTTTCCCGGGGCCACAGAGATGCCAAGTAGCAGGTATGTCTGACTCTAACCCCTGGGTGTCATCTGTGTCCCAATTCTGGTCCTGAGAGTGAAAGCTGAAGGGCTGCTTGGAGGAGGGGGAGAGAAAGGGGTGAGGGGAAGAAGGAGGGAAGGAAGAGTGAAGAAAGAAGGGAGATTTTTTCTGAGCAACCTCCAGAAAGTAGGACCAGAGCCAGAGGAAAGAAGTGAAATGGAGACAGTGACAAGTAGATTAACCAACAAACTACCCTTTAGCATCACCCAAAACTAAGGAGGCTCCCCCATACAGGAAGTGAGGGTCCCATTGCTGGAAGTACGCAGGCCAGCTGCATCAGGGAGGGGTTTTTCTCTGAGGAATCTCCTGACCTCCCAGGCCCCTCCCCTTTCCCACAGCCTGTGATAGGAGGGCAGGGGGGACCCCAACCTAACGCTCCAGGACAGCCTTGGCTGAGCACGACTCAATTCACAGAGACCTGGTTTCCAGTCCAGCTTCCGCTGTGCAGGCCTAGGCTGGCCTTCAGCTTCTCTGTGCCTCACTGGTAAGATGGGGCCATAGCAGCATGGAGCTCCCAGGAAAAACGCTGGGAACAGTGTCTGGAATAGAGAGTGCACTCTGGAGATGCTGTTTTTGGTGACGCCTGGAGCTCTTTTCATCAGGGAGGCTGTGGTTGTTGCTAAGGCCGGGGGGAGGTCTGGCACACATCGGAAGGGGCTGGCAGCAGCCAGCAGGACTCTGGGAGTGATGTCATTGTTTCCAACCCAGTTCTCTGCAGACTCCTGCTCAAGTGCTCAGGGTGGAGTGGGTACCAGTTTACTGAGTTTTGGGGGCATAGGTTGCTCTGCCTGGGGGTGGGGGCTCATGGGCCTCAGCCTGGATTCAGGGGCTGTGTGTACCAACCATGATTAGTGCATACCAATGAGATGAGTCCTAGGACACTGTCACCTGGGTTAATGATGCAAATGTGGCCCCCCCTTAGTCCCCAAAGGTCACTTAGGCCCCAGAAAGACGGCAAGGAAAGTATTGCCGATGGTCACTCTGTCTCCCAGTTCTGTCCCCAGTCTAGCTACCTCCCCTCCTAAGCTGCCTGCACCCTGGTCCACCCTATCATCACCCACCTGGGCCAACGCTGTCACTTCTACCCTGGTCCCCTAGCTCCTGCCCTCGCCCATCTGTGGCCTGTCTTCCCTGAAGCAGCCACCAGAGGGTGCCTGTGAGCACTTAAGTCAGGTTCCTTTCTTTCTCTGCCCATCCTCCAGGGTACCCACCTCCCTTGGGGTAAAAGCCCAAGTCCTCCCAGCAGCCCACAAAGCCTTGCACAATCTACCCTCACATCTCCCTTCTCCCCTTCCCTTACTCTGCTGCAGCCACATGGGTCTCCTCACTGTTCCTCCAACATGCCAGGCGCAGTGCTGCCCCAGGACCTTTGCACCGACTGTCCCTGCTGCCTGGGGTGTTCTTTACCCTTCACTGCTTTCAGGCCTGTGATGTTCCATATCATAGTGAGATCTCCCCTGACCACCCTATTTAAAATCGCACTCCCACTCCTTCCCCTCTCCTGCTTCATTCCCCTTAGCACTTCTTGCCATGGATTTATTTATCTAGGTTCATGTCTAAGTCTTCTCTTAAGAAGTCAGCCTGGGGTTGTTTCCTATATTGTACCCTGCTGTGTCCCCCGTGCCTGGCACACAGTGGGTACCCAATAACTGTCAGATGCATGCATACATTTAGAATGAGCTGCATCAGACCTGGGGCCAGAAGCCAAGCCCTGTCTCTCCCAGGCTATACAAATGCAGTACATCCTTAAAAATTCTGATCCTCGGTTTGCTTGGCTGTAAAATGGGCAGAAATCAGCCATCTTACTCCCTGGGGAAGATTGGTGCTGCTCAGCTGCACAGTACGCTGTCAGCCCACAACCCAGCACACAGTAGGTGCTCATGAGATGGATGTTTCTGTTGTCCTATGTCCATGACCTTCCCTCTTCCCTAAGCAGCCTGCCCCTAGCTTAGAAATGTCCCAATATTTTGTTTTCTTCCTTGTTCAAGAGAAGTCATGTCCCCTTAGGGGACAAGGACAGTGACCCTAGGTCGGGGGCTCCATGTGCTGCTTCTGAAACACTGTGCATCTCTGGGGCACAGGGAAAAGCAGTCTCGAGGGTGTCAGAGTACCAGGCACCTGGAGAGGAGCTTGACGGGTAATTGGGACGCAAGGCGAGCTGATTTATTTAGCACTTCCAGTTTTATCCTGCAGACATCTCTGCTGCCAGGACATCCCACTCGCAGCCGCATGCTTGGGTGGGAGCCACGGAAGGTGGCAGGTGGAGGGCTAAGCTCTGGCACTGCTGGGACATCCATGCCCACTCCGGGCCAAGCTCCCCCCTCCCCAAGGCTGGGTTTCCTTTGGAGGTGTGAAATACCACTATGGCTTCTATTAAGTGCCTACTACATGCCAGGTGCTTCCCTGATCACTGCACAGAACTAAAGAATGCTCTTGGGTGTCTGCTAACTGACTTACTGACAAGCACAGTAACTAACACAGGTCAGGATAAAGTGCCTGGCAGTGAAAGCTATGCATTCCATTTTGGGGAAGACGGTGCCAAGTACACAAACCACAGGCAGGAAAACTGAGGGCAGCTTTATAACCTTCCAAAATAAAAGCCTACATACATGTTTACATATATATCTAGATGCCTATAATTCTTTTCTTAGCTACTCATAGGGAAAAGAAATGTAACTGATCCCACAGTAGTTAGGGCAACCTGTGCCACATCTCTGCCTGCACCCTCCAGCTCAGAGTCTTTGAGCCCTGCCCAGAATTAGCCCTTTCCCCTCTTTGGGTGCTCCAGGACTCCCCTCCACGACCCTGAAGCTTTGCTGCAGTCTATTCCCAAGATGCATCTGGGCATGGTATGCAAATACAGTGAGTTAACCCTTTTCTCACTCAGAAAGGTCCCACACACCCAGCAGGTGTTTAGCAAGCCCCAGGGTGTGCTTGGCTCTGTGGGACCGGTTAACAAACGAGCTGTCACAGTGATTTAAATAAGACCAGGGTCTGTGAGCTGGAAGAGTCAGCAGGTGTCCTGTAGGAGTTAGGAAAAATATGGAGTGGCAGAAAGACCAAGTCTAAAGCAGGCACAGCCGGGGAAATCATCCGGAGGCAGGACCAGCAGAGAAGGAAGGGGTGTAGCTTCTGCAGTCAGGCTGATCTTCATTCCAGACGAATCCCTGGGCCAGTGACGTCACCTCCCAGTGCCTCTCAGCTTTACTGGGATATGATTTACACATCACACAATTTGCCCATTTGAAGTGTGTCATTCATTAGTTTTTAATATATTCCCAAATAATCCTGGTCATCACCAACCATCCACAATCTAATTTTAGAATACTTTCATTATTCCAGAAGATATCCCGAAAGGACCTGTTACCTAAGTCGAGACCCCGAAGATTTATGCCTGTGTTCTTATCCGGGAGTGTTAGAGTTTCAGCTCCTCCACGTAGGCCTGTGATCCATTTGGAGTTAATTTTTACATATGGTGTGAGGTAAAGGCCCGACTTCGTTCTGCTGCACGTGGACATGCAGTTTTCCCAGCACCACTTGTTGAAAGGACTGTTCGGGCCACCCTGACTCCCCAGCCTTGTGGAAAATCAGCTGATCGCGGGCGTGAGGCCCGGTCTGGACCGACATGTTCATTCTCACGCCAGCACCACGGTGTCCTGCTGGCCACAGCTTTGCAATAATGTTGAAACTGGGGAGTGTGAGCCCCTCAACTTCGTTCTTTTTCAAGACTGTTTCAGCAATTCTGGGTCCCTTGGGTTCCCATACAAACTTTTCGATCGGCTTGTCAATTTCTGCAAAAGAAGCTAATAGGGATTTTGACAGGGATTGAGTTGAATTTGTAGATCAGTTTAGGGATGTTTGCCACCTTAACAATGTTACATCTCCTGATCCATGAACATGGGTTGCCCTTCCCTTCCATTTATTTAGGTCTTCTTTCTTTTCTTCCAACACTGTTTTGTTATTTTTATGGTATACATTTTGCATTTCTTTTGGTAACTGTATTCCTAAACATTTTATTCTATTGTAAATAGAACTGGTTTCTTCATTTCATTTTATTTGTTCATTGCCACTGTATAGAAATAAATTAGATTTTTGTGTATTAATCTTGTATCCTGCAGCCTTGCCAAACTTGTGTACTAGTTTGAACAGATTTTTGTGGTGGATTCCTCAGGATTGTTTCTACACCAAATTCTGTCTGTGTAAATAGAGGTAGTTTTACTTCTTCCCTCTCAATCTGGATGCCTTTTCTTTTTTTTTTTTTTGCCTAATTGCCAGGTTATTCCTTCCAGTAGTTTTAAACAGAAATGGCGAGAGCAGATATCCTTATCTTGTTCTTGATCTTGGGGGACAACATCCAGTCTTTTATCATTAAGTATTCATTTTGCGAGCTGCAGTGCCCTTTGTCAGGTTGAAGAAGTGCCCTTGTATGCCTGTCTAGTTGAGGGTCTTATTCAGGAAGGGATTCTGCATTTTGTCAAGTGCCGTAGTCACAATTCAAGTCTATGTCTCTCTGACTCCTGGGCCCCGGCAATTACCTGATACACTGAGGCAGTGAAATCCCAAAGGAGCCCCCCCCGTCCATGGAAATCAGTAAGGAGCCGGTGTTCAGCAAATGGGGTGTTCCCATGTGCCCCTTTTCTCTTTAGCATTGGAAGTGAACTTAGGGAAAGGAGGAGAGAGAACACCATGTTTAATTTGAAGGAATGTGTAATGATGGTGGAATCTCTGGCACAGGACAAAGTTACAGGGGGGATGTTTGGACCTGTCTCACAGGGATTTAAGGCTGGGTCTGTGCAGACAATCCTGAACTTGGCATGAGGAGTCCTGCTTATATAATGGCACTGGGCAGCTGATGGATCCCCTGGAGTTGTCCCAACAGAAGCACACCGGAGCTAATTATCAAGTTCTGGGAGACACTGGAAGGGGTGGGCAGGCTGGGCTGGAAGGGACGGAGGAGAAGGCTGGGAGGGTGGGAGAGCCCCTCCACTCCCAGCAGAAGATGGAAATGTTCATTAACTAAACTTTTCACCCAACAATGAGCCACACTGACTGCTTGCCAGGTGCACAGATTGGCAGAGACCCAGAGCCCACCAAGCCCCACCTCCCGATTCTAGTGTTTTCCACAGTATGGCACTTGGAGGCGTCAGCCGTGCCCGCCCCCTTCTCCCCAGGGAGGACATTCTCTCCTTGGTTCTCTTCAAGCTCTGGCTTACAGGAAGTCTCAGTTTGGTGTTACTAAATCCTCAGTGCCTTTGTGACACTTGTCAACCTCCTGGGGCTGCCTGGAGGCTGTGACAATATCAGACTAGAATGTTCTGTTCTCCTTGTATTGATCTTTATGGCTACCTGGCTAGCCATCCTGACTTTCCCATTGACAGTGGCCACATTGATCACACAAGCCCTTCTTGAGACTACATGTGGTGCCAGGTGCTCGACGTGATGTAGGTCGCTCCACTCCCCCAGCAACACTAGGAGATAGAGACTATTACTATCCCCCACTTACTGACGGTCAAACAGAGGCACAGATGAAGTTCGGAGACAGACAGAAAATAAGCAAACTGGCCAAAATACAAAAATAACTCCAAATTATAATAAATAATCTGGTACCAAGATGAAGGGTGAGGAGGATTCAGCCTTGGAAAGAACAGAAGGAACAGCATTCTAGGCAGAGGGAACAACTAGTGCAAAGGCTCTGAGGCTGGACTGATTGACGTTTGCAAGGAACATTGAAGAGGCTAGTGTGGGTGGAACAGGCTAGGGGGACAGGTGGAGGAAGGAGGGGATGGGCACAGGTAGTGTAGGTCCTTGTGGGCTTCGTTGAAGACTTGGGTCTTTATCTGGAGTGACATCTTGTGAATCTCCTCCCCTGGACTATTAACTCCTGGAGGGCAGGATTTTTTTTTAGCCTGTTTTGTTTATTTCTGTGTCCCAGACCTTAAAACAGCCTGGGACACAGATTAATGGCCTCAATGGATGGGTTTCCTAGGCACACACTGTACCATATTTTACACCCGTTCTTCTTTGTTCCTCAAAAGAAGCCTCAAGAAGTTAGAGGGGGTTGTCCACTTTTTACAAATGGGAATGCTGAGGCTCACAGTGACTTATTCAAGGTCCCTCCCCTGAACAGGTGGCAGAGTTGGGGCTCATGCCACATCCATAAGCCTGCAATCTCATTTCATCATGACGATGAACTAACTCCCTCTGAAGTTCATCTTCACTCGCTTCAGAGTGAGTGAAGGCATGCTCATTCTGCCTTCATCGAGCATGCAGGCCACGAGCACCTGCTGTGTAGGAGAAACCATGCTCAGTGTTGGTGGGACTATCCCCTTTGATCCTTCCAGGCAAGGCTGTGTCCCCATTGCTTGGATGAAAAAAAAAAACAAAGCCAGACTGTGGATGGGCTAGGTCAGGGTCATGCAGACAGGAAGGACAAAATAGGCTCTGCAAACCTGGCCACTGCACTGGCCGCTGGGAAACTCCAAGCTTAATTTAGGTTCCTTGATTAATTATTCATTCTCTCCTCTCTCTTCTCCTATTTATGACTTCCGCCTTCTCATTTTGTTCCCCGGTTAATGCCTTTAGTTTACATCTGCATCTTTGGCCCAGAATGAATGAATCAATGATTTTGGAGGAAAAAATCCCTCAAATTCTAAACCTGAGTTCCTTTGTGGATATGAGGCCCTCTCCAAATACATACTTTGAAGAAATAAAACTCTTTCAACATGTTCAGAACACAATGACCCCACCTGCAACGTTTGGTGTCCAAGCACTGACACCTCCTGTGGTAACTGTGTGCTTTTATTTTATTTTTCCTGTCTTGTTTTCTCATTATCCAATTCTGAAGCACCAACTACAGGCTAGGCAGGCACATTATCACAATCCATCCTTACCCTCTGCATATGAGCCAGGGCTACCTTGCCCTAGTTCACAGATGGAACGAGGACCAAAGAAGAAAACCCAGTTCGCAGGTGGAAAAACCGAGGCTCAGAGCCTCACACAGCTAGTCAGTTTCTGAGCTGGGGTTCCTATGGTGGCTTGTCCTGACTCCAGGGTAGCTGACGATGATAATTAGGTGGCATGTTTGTAAAGTGCTTCCTCTGCAGGAAATGCTCCTTTATCTATTCCCTCATTCATTCAACCAATACACAGGGATTTCCGAGCCCATGGAGTCATACCCTAGTGTGACCAGAATAAAACCAGGATGACAGATCGAGAATGGAGCGTGTGGTTGCTAGTGACCCGGGTCAGGGAGGGCTTCTCCAAGGAGTTGCTGTTTGAGGAGAAATTTGAAGATATTGAAGGAAGACCGTTTCAGGCAAAAGAACAGCAGAAGCAGGGGCCCTGGGTCAGGAGTGAGCAGTCTGTTGGAAATTGAAGGAGCTGGCTTGTCTGGAGCATGGAAATCTGGGGACAGAGTGGTGGGTGCGAATGCCGAGAGGTGTCTGGATTTTGGACGAAGGAGGCACTGCAGAACCTCGACAGAGTTTATAGCTGGACACGGCAAGCACCCTGGCCTTTGTGCGGAGTGTCCTGGAGCTCACCAGCGAACCGATGGCCGGAGGAGTCCCTCGCACTAATGTCGCTGCCCACGTGTCACGCGAAGCTCCGTGCCCCACGTGCTCCCGCGGCTCTTTAAACGCCCGCCACCACGTGGCTCAACCGTACTGCCTCATTGGCTGGGGGGCGTGGCGGCAGCGCGGCTGCGCAGCGACACGCGCAGGCCTGCCCCGCCCCGCGGCCGGCGGCGGCCGCGGCGGCGCTGGCGGAAGGGATGACGTCACCGGCTGGAGGGGGGCGCGCAAGTCGGCGCGAGGGGAGCGCGAACCGCAGTGAGTGTCCTCGCGCCGCCCGCCCGGCAGCCCGGCCGGCGCGCGCACGCCGCGAGCCGCTGGCGCTCGGGCTCCGCTCGGATCCCATGTAACAGCCAGGATGTGAAGCGGAGCAGTGCCGGGGGAGCCCAGCCCAGCCAGCCTCCAGGTAAAGAGGGAACAAAAATTCTGAATTACCATAAAATTGCGGGCACTCCAATCAGGGTCTTGGAGGCAGCCGAGTGGGCAGCGCGCCGGCTTTGTGCCGGGGAAGCCTGCACGGCCATTGTGCTCTGAGGACGCCAGGCTGCAGCCGGCTGCACGCCCAGTCTCTGCGCCTGGCCAGCTGCGTCCGAACAATGCCCCCGGGGGCTGGACTAGGCGGGGGCTACGGGGCCGGGGGCTTCGCCGCCGCTGTGGAGGGGGCTGGGCTGGACTCGCCTGGAGCGCGGCGTTGGAAGCTGCCCAGCGTCGCCGGCTGCACCACCCCGGGTTGCGGGCGGGGCGAAGGCGCGCAGGGGGGACGTGCGTGTGTGCGGAGGGTGTCCTGGCCCCGGCGGCGCCGGCGAGGGACCCCCAGGCGGGTCCTGGAGGCAGGGGGCGCTGTTCTGGGGTTGGGGGTACGCCGGAGCTCCGGAGTGGAGACCAGTCCGGGACGGGTGGCTCCAGGTGGGAGCTAGAGAAGACCGGCAGGTGCGCCCAGGTTGGCTGCTTTACCCGCCGCCTTCCGTCTCCAGTCTCCATCCCTTGGGACCCCTGACTCAACGCCGTTTCCCTCGAGCGTTTTCTTGTCCTCTTCTCTCGCTTGAAAGGGGAGCGCCCCTCCATCACCCTGGCCTTGCCCCACCCTTCTGCGGCCCTGGCGTCCCCTTCCAGACCCCCGGGCGAGGCAAGACTTAGCCCCCAGCACCAGGAACTCTGGCGGGCGGACAAGCGCGCGCCCGGCATCCGACCTCCACTGGGCGCAGGGGGTCCCGGGAGAAGGGAAGCCGCCCCTAGATCCGCCAGCCCCGTGGGTTCTGCAAGCCCCTGGAGCCCCCTGGGGGGCTGGGAGGGTCGGGTCGGTGACGTCACCCAGGGGGGCGGAGTCGTGGAACGAGGTTGAAGGGGGCGTGCGGGGGTGGGGGTTACCCTGAGGGGAGGCTCCCTGAGTTAGAGAGCCAGAGCCCTGGCGCAAGGGTTTAGGCTAGGCTGCGGCCAAGTTCACTGCTCCTTATGGAAATCTTTCAAATTTAGGAACCTGCCTTAGCACTCCCCCTACAAATTCAGGACACTTACCCCCTCGAAGTCCCTCTAAATCGGGGAACTCCCCTTTAGCCGTTTTCTCTCCAAAATTCTCAAATCAGGGAACACCCCGCAAACTGGATTTTTTTTTCAGCCACACCCCCCAAATCTGGAACCTCCTCCTAAGCGACCCTTTTCCAATTTCAAATCCTCCTCTAGTAGCTCCGTAAATAATGCAGCTTTTGAGAGCCCCTTCTTCTGCAACCTTTCTTCAAATTTAGTCACCCCTTAGGGAGCTCATCCCCCCAAATGAACAAACCTCCCCAGCGCCTCCATCTGGGGGGCTCCTTCTCTCTCTCTCTCTCTCTCTCTCTCTGTCTCTCTCTCTCTCTCTCTCTCGTGGGCTCAGCTGGGATTCCCCTGCCTCCCCCCCCCCATCTCCATTAGGGGGAGTCCCTACTCTGAGCACGGGGCCCTTCTGCCGCTGGTCAAACCCCTGAAACACCAGCCTGGGCAACACCGCTGGTGAAGGGGATGGCTGAGGTGTCTAGACTGGGTGTTGGGACTCTTAAGAAACCGGACAAAGCATGAGGCTTCTGGAGGGTCCCCACCATAGGGACCCACCCGCTCTCGGCCCCCAGTGGCCTCCGTCCAGACTTTGGTTGTTGGGGTTCTGGCTTTCTCTTGATATCCCCTGTCGTCATTGTCCCTGGGGTGCAGGGAGCGAGGGCCCCTCTTTGTTTGGGGTGCCCTGCTTTCCTTTCGGAGCCGCCAGCCGTCTTCGATAAGAGGAAATCGGCCCTCCCTGCTACTCCTGTGATAACAGCTGCTGCTGCTGAAGCCTTTATTAATGCCTGAAGAACCCAGTTGATGCTTCCATTTGCATAGCTTCCCTCCCCCTCCCAGGGTCCCTTTCTTTTGTACACCCCTTCGCCTGCCAGTCTTGCCTGCCTTCTGTCCTTCAGCTTTCTTCTTCCTCTGCCAGCTGATACTTTGGCTGAGGAAGGCAGGCAGCTGGGGCTGGGGACGGCTGCTTCCCGCGCCCCCGAGTTCCAGAGCCCACCACCTTGGACCTATGTCTCTGGTTGCACACCCCTACCCCCCATGTTGCCCTTCACTGGGCATCTTTTACTGCTTGTGCTGCCCGCTGTCTGTCCAGCTCTCCACTCTTCCTCTCCAGAAAGCTTTGTTCTGCCCCATCCCCAGGGCCCTGGGGGGGGGGGGCACCTTCACCATGACACTGCACTTCTTTGGGCCCAGCTCCCCCCAGCCCCTTGGGGGCTGCCACCCGCCACACTCTGTCACACTGAGAGTTGGTATAATTGGGCTCAGGCAAGTAAAACGTCGCGGGAGACCTGGCCTGCCTGATGAGCTCATGCATTTTCTATTCTTGCCGCCTGGGCTACCTGGGCCGGTGACATCGGCCCCCCAAGGGTGATGAGGGGCCGGTACTGTCGGTACTGTCGTGTCGGTGGACTTGGGTAGTCTGGCCCACTCCCTTCAGGAGATGGGGGATGGGTTCTGGTGTGGCCTTGAGGTGTGACATTGGAGGGCATTCCTGGGGGCGGGGTGGGCTGGGCTCCCCCTGGGAACCCTCTTCTCCCAAGGCTCCTCGAAGGCCCCTGTGCTAGGCATGTGGTAGGCGCGGAGGGAGGGTCACCGAAAGCCGGTGCCTGCCTGCTGCGTGTTGCATGGAAATCACTCTCCATTGACCGTACTTCTGGTCTTCCCCTCAGAGCCGTTCTTTTACCCTGCTTCCCAGGGGTTCCATGCATCTCCACTCATCCATGGGCCCCACCTGGAGCCATGATGCTCAGGGCCCAGGTGTCAGGAGCAGGTGGAAGGGGAGACGTTCCTTGGATGTCAGGGAGTCGTGGTGGCATCTGGGGGGATGATTCTGGAGCCATCACTCTCCACCCATTTTTTCCTATATTTGGGTTGAACGGAGCATGGGACTCAGCCCGGCATTTTCCGGACTTGGGTCCAGTCAAGGAGACAGATCCACCTTTGCTGGGCAAATGGATTTCCAGGAATGACTCAGTTTCCCCTCCTGTCTTGTGAGTCCGCATTGCACAGCATTTCACAGGTGTTAGAGTGCAGGGCAGACTTCCAACTGCTGCTTCCAGCATCCAGGCTCCAGGAGACCTGTGGCTCTGTTGGTTATTCCGGCGGCCGCACGGCCTGAACGATGATCAGCGAGTGAGGTGGCTGGGGAGGGACAGGCAGGGATGATGTGACTCTGAGGCACAGAGTGGCCGGGCGCCCTCTACCCTGCATTCACCTGCTAGCCGTGACTTTAGTATCTACAGCGACCGTGTGTGGGGGAATATAGGGATAGCATGGAGAGAGTTTGGGGTGGAGAGGAAAACCCTAAAAATAAAAACGGATATTTATAAACCCAGCAGGTTTGGGGAATAATTGACGAAGCTTAATGTTTTCAGCTGAGAGCAATTTCCCTCCCTGACTGCATTAGGCTCCATTTGTGGAGTCATTCAGAGCCAGCTGAAGGTTCTTGAAGAGTGTGGGTCTTTGGCGGGTGCCTTGCGAGCCGGGGCTGTTTTTGCGGGCGGGGGGCCTAGGCAGGGTCGCTGAGACACCAGGATTTCCGGCAACTCTTTATCCAGGGCAGCCTCCTGTTCACACCTGCCGGTGGTGGGCATCTCCTTTTCCAGAATTTGCAGGGAGGAGAATGCCCGTCTCCCACAAAGCAGGTGCAGGCCGTCCTTGCTCTGTCCTTCTGTGCAACAAAAGATACCTGGGGTGGGGTATTTGGAGAGACACCCCCCCCAGCCCACCAGGCAGGGCGGCTCAGCCTCCAGTGGTGGGGACAAGATGAAGGCATAACTGCCATGCCTGTGTGGGATCCACGTGCCAGCCTGACAAAACCCCGCCGTGGGTGCATGGATAAAGTCATGTCACTGCCTGTATCAAGAGGAACTGTAGGGTTCAAGGACTTTTCAGATGGTTTTTAAGATGTCTTATTCCCACCTGGTCTGGGACCAGGAAGCTGCTTGGCTTGCAGGCTGGGGAAGATGGGTGCTGAACAGGAGTCGAGGTTCAAGTGCACGCTACTGCCCTGTTACAAGGAAGATGGACAGCCCAGAGACAGGCAGGTGTGGCTGTGAGAGGCACAGGAAGTAGTGACACCTGGATCTCTGAGCCCTGCGGTTCAATTTGTCACCTCCTCTGCCTTTTAGAAGCTCAAGAGCACTGAATATAATGTGTGGGTTTATTTTTTTCCCTTTTCCTTTTTTCTTTAAGGGGGAAAAAAAAGACACTTAAAAAAAGGAAAAAAAAATCCCGGCGTACCATTTCTGTCTTGTCTCTGGCTGATATTTCTGAAGTGGCAGTGGGGGGCAGGGTGCATGGGGAATATGAAAAAATCAATTGGCTTACACTTCTGCAAAGGCGAAAATTAGTGAGCGGGTGGGAGTGACTCACGGGCAGGGCCTGGACTTTTCCTTGCTTTATTTTTGTCTCCTTCCCCCCCCCCCTCCGAGGAGCTGCCGATCCTGGTCCCCTTCCGCCTCCCCCTCCCCTGGCCTGGCCAGGCTGGGCCTGGGGGTTGGTGTGGTTCCACCTGGCTTTGGAATCCCCTCTTTTCTGTCCAGAAATCAAGGCACCCCCAAAGTCCTGCCGATGCCAGAGAGATCCCAGACGTGAAAAGCCTCCCAGGTTTTTGTTCAGCATCCCCGCTGGTTCCTTTCTCAGTCCCACGGGTCCCACTGTGGTGGGGGGTTTGGAGCCTGGGTTTTGGGTTGCGGTGATTCCTCCCCTGAAAATGCCTACCTGGACCTGAATTGAAAATGTCATTTTTCTTTCCAAGGGGCAGATTTTGTTCAGAACTCCCTGGGTGGTCCCTGTGACTTTTGAAGTTTTTAATCTTTGCTGTTAGCTCCTTATGGGAAGGCGCTAACACATGGAGGAAGGCCAGAGGTCCCTGGC